GGCAGTGGTGGCGGCGGTGGTGCCGCCGGTGGTGAGCCTGTTCGCCGTGGTGGTCGTCATCGCCCTAGCGTTGGCTGTACCAGCCGCAGTTCTGGTGGTGATGGTGCTGGCAGTGGGTGTAGGGTTAGGAGGAATATGGAGGAATAGTCTACAAGAGTGATAATCTTGTTATCGTGGATAGGCTCTGAAACGGACATGCTGACAGGCATGCCGTGTTGCAGACTTGTGGGGTGACGGCCGGCGCCTCGGTTTTCGCTCCGTGCAATCAGTTTGACTTGGCCTACTGCGGTTCCTTGGCCAGTTGCTGTTACTTCCGATTGCCGGCTACATGTGGCAGAAGTTCACCTCCAAGGCCTGACAAAGCTGTGGCTTGTAGCTTGGTCTCAAGTTGTGTGGACCTGGCCTGAAGGTGGCGAGTCAAAGTCTTTCCTCCCTGCTGGCCGTGCTTTGGACGTACAGGAGGATGCGCTTGATGCTTCAGAGGAAGGCATGCCACACTGGAACGAGACGAAACTGCCTAGACAGGACGGACTTTCGTGGCTTCATGAAGAGCCACCGCGCTGCCATTCAGAAGGGCAAGGAATCTGGTGACTATGTTCCTGGCGTGATGAACTACTACAGCCTCATGTCGGACAGCTTCCGAAACGAGGGTTGAAGAAGACAGTTGCCGAAGCCGTACATGCTAGTCACGGTGGTGAGACAGCATTTGCTGAATCGTCAAAACATGGCGCCAGAGACAACGAATTATCCACAGGATTTGATCACCCTCACCAGCGGTCCCTTTTGGCATTTCGTCCCCATGATCAAGGGCCTTTCCCGTGACGTGCCTCCCTCAGACAGTGCAGGTTGAGTGTTGCCGAGAACCGGCACCCAGCCCGCCAAGGAGAGCCACGTGCGTTTCCACCACACTTTGTCGCAGTACTTGGGCGCAGGCCGGTCAAACTGTGACATCATCCACATGCCAACGGACTGTTGTGCATTCTGTTAGGCAAAGATGAGAAGGTCTTGGAGTCCACGTCTCAGAAGTTTCCGAAGCACGCTGCTGGTTGCTTTCATTCAAGAAGTTTGGTGACGCGATTCTGTGAGGATTGGGTGTGGCTACGGTGAGATGGGGCGTCAGGTTGCAAAGATCTCGGGTGCCAGCGCACCTTGAAGATTCAGACAACAACATGGCGTGGGCTGTAACAGCAATTTGACTTCTGTCATCCTGGGATGCTCAAGCAGCTGCTGTTCGGTGTTCAAACTGTCACCCCTTCAGGTAACGGGCTTGACCATGGCAGATGCAGAGATTGAGGGTGGCAACCTTCGGATCAAGGCGGCGGGACTCTGAAATCTGGGCCCACGAGGGAAAGCGGCTGCCTTTCAGGAAGCAGGACTTGATGACCGATGCAAAATTGCAGAGCCCCCAGCCCATGACCTACCGGCATAGTTCCGCTTGCGTTGTGAGCCTTTCCCGAGGTTCAGGGGAACTACCACAAGACCGAATTTCAGGATCGGGGGGCTGCACGGGCGTGACGTAGCTTTCCTTTGTGAAAGAGCCACCATCAGGACGCTAGCTTCGACAAAGTCTTCGGAGTTTACACTTTGAAGTACTCCTCCAACCTTGAGGCGGTATTTGCAGAGGCCGGCTTTGCCAATCGCGACTTGGAGTCCTCGCGGGTTTCTTGAGCAGATGGCACGGCTTTTGAAGCCCGGTGGCAAGTTCCTGTCCTACGAGATTCTGGTGCCTTGTCTTGGTGGCTTTGCCTCTCTGTGCAGCTCTGTGATAGGCCCGCCCAAGCCGCCCAAGGTCACTGACAAGTTCGATAGCACGAATGCTGAGCACAGGGAATACGTGGGTGCCTCAGCACTGGAAGTCGAGGGCACATGAATCAAGACACAGCGGTGTCAGGTTGGCAACATCTCTACTTGCACTTGTATGCCTCCGCCGTCAGCTTACAGTGCCGAAAGCGACACCTGCTAGACACCAGACGCTCAAGCTGGGTGCGCAGGCTGTGGCCTGCGGAGGCCATGCGCAGCGCTGCCAAGAAAGCTGGTCTCGTGCCGGTGGTGGAAGAGGCAGCCTGCAATGTGGACGCAGGGGCTGTCCTGACTCGGTCCGGTGGAAGTCATCGGATCACCGACTCCCAGACCCCACGAGACGCGCTGCCATCGGCTTTCCAAGTCTTCTGGAAGGACATTGGGGCAGTGGCGACGGCGCGTCCTTGGTACACCTGCTTCACCAATGGCGTTTACCAGATCTTGGCCAGACGCCCGAGATAGTACTGCAGCATCCACGTCGGTGTTAATTGCTAGCTGCTAGAGTTGTTACAAGTATTTACAAGTCAAACGTGCGGCAAGCCTGTGACAGACCTGGGTGTATCTCCAGAATACTGGAAGTGCAAAGATTTGGCGGCAGGCAGTCATCCTATCGATGAGCTCAACAATGCAAAGCCGTTGTCAACACTAGCGGCCCTACGATGATGATCCTGGTGGTGATCATAATGACATCTTCGTTCCAAGGTCTGCCCTCTGCTGCTGCCTTTCTTCCGGGGTGCCGAGGCTCGACAATTTGGTTTTGAAAGAGACCTTGCAAGTTTGCATGACTTTTCGTGCTGGCCCCGCGAGACGCTGCGCTTGCTACCACCAGCCTTCAGCGATTGGTTTGAAAATCTGCTGGCCGAGACCATAGACTTCAATCGTGTCAAGCTTGTTTGACAAAAAGCCACGGTGCCCGTGGTGTCGCACAGGTCCATCCGACCGTCGACTTCGTTCGCGCCGGCAGGCGCCGATCAGCGCGCGCTTCCGTTACGCGGTGTCTTCTTCGAAGAATCCTGAGGCTTGGAATCATCAGCGGCACCGTCGTCATGACTTGGCAAAAGCCGTAGTCTGTACAGAGTCGGTGTGATGGGCCAGTAGATAGCATCATGGGCTGCTTCGTAGGTTTTTGCAGGGCTTTTCGGAGCTTTGGCAGGTGTCGTACAACCGGCTGCTGTAAAGTCATGTTCAGTGCAGGCTTTCTGCTGCAGTCTCTGCAGCTTTGCTAATTCAGTTTATGCCATGACCGCCCACCTGAAGAGGTGGAGCTTCAGCGACAGACCAGCTTTTTAACAGCTGATACAAGATGGCTCTGGATGCGCGCAGTGGCCTTCGTGTTTTGAGCGGTTGGCTCGCATGAAGCCAAGAAAAGACGGACTCCGGGAGCTTGCTCGTGATGTGCTGTGTATCCGTTCTGGGTACTGTTGCCACCGTTCTTGTCCCCTTTATGAGTATTGCTATGTAAATGCAGTCAACTCGATGCAGGAAGCTGAGACCATGGCCATGGCGTACAAGCCTGAGGCACGACGGACTCGAAGGCATATTTGTTTGCCTTTGCGTTGTTAGTGGTGGTGGTGGTGGTCGTCGTCTGTTTTTGTTGAGACTGCTTCGGGTCAGTTGTGGTTATGGCCCAAATGTGAATAGCAAGAAGTCTGTGGCTGTCGCATTGACTCGGCTTTTGCTTGTTGCCGGCTTTTGATGATGTCCTTATCGATTGTACGGGAGGTTGGGGGCCCGGGCGCGCTCTAAAGAGGCAGGGCGCGGCAAAGCCGCAAAGTGTCTCAGACGCAGCCGGCGTCTCCAGCGTCTCAGGCGTCTCAAGCACCTCACGCAAGCGTCTCACGCATTTCCAGCGCGCGCCCTTTGCGTTTCGACTCAAGCGTCTCACGCATCTCAAGCGTCTCGAGTCTCACGCGTCTTAAGTGTCTCAAGCGTCTGAAGCATCTCAGGCGTCTCCGGCGTCTGAGCCATGAAAGCATCCGCAGCTCCGGCTGAACAGGGCGTGTGAAGCGTCTCAAGCGTCTTAAACGTCTCAGCGGCAATGTTTAAGAGGATTTGAGGCTTTGAGGCTTCAGGGCGCCTGAGATGCTTTGAGGCTTCCAACCTTCCCGCCCCCAACTCTCCATACCCTCTGGATCGCATGTACCTTCTCTGCCGGTGCCAAGATGCTGAGTTGATACGCGGCTTCCTGTGCGAGGCTGGAGTCGAGATGCCAGACAAGCGGGTGCTCTTTCAGGCTCGGCTGTGGTGAGGGTTGACCGGGCTCTGACTGTAAGTCTGTAAGTATTTGTCTTGGAGCTGCTAGCCTGCTGCAAAGCAATACTGCCGCGCAGACAATCAGATGGCTGCAGCTACCTGCAGATATTGCCACCCCATCTCTGTCGGTTCCTATCATGCGCATCACGGTCTTCCTGAATCCCAAAGGTCCCAACACCCTTCAACGGCTGCTACTTGAGCCCAGAAGAGCCCAAGCCCTAAGCTTCTGGGAACCCTGCACGTTTTGCCGAGCAAGCGGAGCAGGGCTTCCAGTCATGACGTCCTAGCAGACTTCCCCATGCTCATGATAGTGAAGCAAAGCTAGCACGAACCGCCCTCCGTAGCAGCATGAGTTTTAACCTCTTCGGCACAAAAATAGTTGTGCACTGTTTGCTCCAGGGCTTAGCGGACACCGGCCCATCCACTCGAAGTGGCGAAGCGCCCACGGCCTCAGCACCGTTCCGATTCGCGTTCCGCTGGAGCGGAGGAGAAGTTCACGACGGTTCACAGAGTCGAGGGTTCCCAGGGGACAAACAACCCAAGGGCTCGGCATCCTGTCGAGCGGCTGCTCATTGACCACAGCCGCAGGGAGCAGCAGGAGGACCGGCTGTTATGCAGTGACTAATGAGCATGGCCTGTGGTCTGTGGTCCTATGGGCGGCGCAGTGGCTAGAATTCGCTGTGACAGTTTCTTCAGACTTCATGTCTCTGCGCGGCAGGAGATGAGGAACAAGGCTTTGGTGAGCCCAAGTCGAGATGGAAGAAAGGTTGATAGGCAGTTGACAAAGCTGTCGCTGATGAGCCTTATACTTGACGCTGTTGGCCCCATTCAGGCATAGCCTTAGCAACCGAAAACTACTCGTACCACGAGAGCGCTTCACTATATACCAGCACCTGATTTTTCTGTATGTCAGCAGAAGCCAGCGCTCCTGACAACCTGTCTGCGTAATGGCACGAAGCCATGGCCAAAGCAATGCCATGGATGCGAATTCCGAGGCAGAGGAGACCTGCATTGGATGCTCACTTCAGCATTTGGATATTTCTCTCGTGCTGGTCTGCGGTCACCGATTGTGCCTCCAATGCGCTTGGCGAGAGTTGCAGGCATCGAGATACACCAGCGCCCGCTGCCCACGCTGTTCGTCCGTGACAAAGGTAGATTCAAGAGCTGCGGAACAGATCCGGGAATTTATGCGCAATGCATCGCCCCACCCAAGTCCTTCTCCCGCAAACGTGTTTCAGCGGGAGTATTGCGTTCTGCCAAAGTTAGCAGAGCGCTGGAAGCGACCGGAGCCAGGCATCCGTAGCATGCGATTGAGGCCGCCATCACGGGGATCTAACCAAAGCCCCGAAATGTCAACAGTTTCACCGACCACTCCCCCTGCTGAACAGCTGGACGAGCTTGCAGATGGAGCCCTTTGTGGCCAGTGCCAAGGCACTCGTGCTGACGTTCGTTGCCGCCAATGCAACGAGATCTTCTGCAGCGCGTGCTCGGCGCGAATGCACAAAGCAGGCCGAATGCGCGAGCACAATCTAGTGCCAGTCACAGCGCTTTTGCCTGATCGAGTCCACGTTGCCCGTGACAGCAGTGAAAGTGCTGCAAGTCCTCAACTGATCGTGGAGTCAAGCCCGTGTCCCGCGACATGTCCCGTGCATGCAGGCGAGCCTCTCCAATTCTTCTGTCTGAGTTGCGTTGAATGCATTTGCGCAGAATGTGTGATTCATGTGGGTTCCGCCCATCACGACCACGAAGTCGTGAACGTACGGGTTGCCTTCCAGCAGCTCTCACAGCCCATCAAACAGGCATTGGAGACAGCCGCAGCTCGCCTTCAGGCAAGTCCAAAACGGAGGCAGTCAGAGCTGCTTCCTTTGGAGGATGCTTTCAGCAAGATGAAGCTTGACGTTGTAAATACATTTGAATCCTTATTCTCTTCTTTGAAGAACAAAGAGGAGGAGCTTGTACGTGGAGCTAACGATTGCGGCCGCCTCCTGGACACGACCATGCTGGCGAAAGCCCGGGACTACGAGGCACAGCTTGCCGAGCTGGGTCGCCTTCAGGCTATGTTGGATGCTCTCGCTGACGGCCAAACGGTCATGGACGAAGTCCAACGACTTAACCTTTATGTTGCAGTCAAGGATGGCTTGGCCTCGTTGCCTTTACGTGTCTTGACGCAGAGAGCTAGGGCAGGTTGAGTCGGAGATCGTCATGCTAGAGCGGCATTAAGGCCATTAAGGGTGTTGGCAGTACTCCTGACTCCTCGTCGAGCTTGGAACAATTCAGATAACTCGAGTGAGAGTTGGATGTCATTAATCGAATGTGGATACCTTGGGAACCTCGACAAGACATACTAGACTTGGACCGTCGTGATCAATGCTCGCTGTACCAACGAGCGCCCCGCTCACCCATTGAGTCATCAACAAACATCAACAAGCACATTCCGCCCAAGAACGACAACCTGGACCATCCCGAGAACTCCACCGTGCTCGTAGAATTGCAAAAGGCGGCAAGTCGAACACCATCCAAAGCCACGTCTTAGTTTATGCCGGTTCCCTGCCTTATCATCTGATGGGTAGGTTCGGGGTTGTTGCTGTTTTCGACGGCATACCGAGCTCGAACCGATCGAGGGGTGAACTCGAGGTCGCAATCGTGTTCTGTGTCTCAGTCGCAATGGACGTCTGTGAAGCCAAGGAGCAAAAGTCTCAGGCAAAGTGGCCTCCGCTGACGAAGCAGGGTCCATTGAGGAGTCGGCTGCGCAGGAGGTCCAAGAGTTCGCCGATTCGTTGGTGCAGGGCATCGCTGATACCCTGCGAACCAAGCAGACGGAAGTCGACTCTCTGATCTGCGATCTGCGTGAAGCCTGTGACCTATCCAGTGGATGGACTTCATGATTCAATGACTTGCGGAGCAGAAAAGATGCCAACTCACCGGCCATTCGACATGCAAACCTGCTCGTCATCATGGCTGTGGCACAAGTTTTTTTCACAGGTATTCGGCCAGCATGCTCCACTGAAAGCCAAGATGGTGTGACCGGCATGTTTTCTTAGTCATAAGGTAATACGAAACAGCTAAGTCTGCTAAGTGCTGGACTCGAAAGGAGCGCGAGCTGCTGTCGCAGTTCCAGCGCTTGCCTGGCTTACCATCCTCGTTGGTGCACACCTCAAGCAGGGCTCTGTTTACCTGCGGCTCAGCAGATGCGAAGCACAGGTGCACAAAAGCCAGTTCCACTGACCTTCGGAGATTCACGCATCTTTGTGCTGGCGTCAAAAGCCACTCCCAGGTGGGACTGGAGACTGTCATGGACATGGACGACACAATCGAATTCGAGGACATCATGAACCTGGAGGCTGTGATGGCATAGTTAGCATGGAAGCATGGGGCTGCATCAAAGTCTGACTTCCGGGCATCCATGACTTTGCTGTTGGAGGCCAACTCAGCACTGTCGCGCTTCACAGGTCCGAACAGGTGCCTTGCTGTTGATGGGTGAGTGTCGTGTAACTTTTGGACCACCCTGCATGAGATTTACTAGAAGTCACCAAGTGAGACGGGCTCTGCTGAGTTGCGGGTTCTGCCCATGCACTATCCAGTGCTTGCAGGGGGCTGCATGACATCATGGAGCAGCGCCTCAATATGCGATTCTGAGAGCTTGCAGTCGGAACCGACACGGAGTGAGGACGTTTGTGCAGCGATGGTTCTACACTTGTTAGGTCCATGAATTTCAGGGTCGTGCAGTGGAAGCGAATCGACTCATCGACCTCACGCTGTAGCAAAGCAATCCTGCGGACACGGAAAGAACAGAGCAGGAAAAGCTGGCTTGCTCCTGGCTTCAAGAGTTGCGATGTTGATTTCAGTTCACGTACTACTAGCAGGTCGGACCTAGCATGTTGAAGACGAACTCCCGCTGGCCTTCTGCTTTTTCAGCTGAAAGCTGATGGAAAACCGGCTGTGGCATGTCGCAACAAATGCCCACGGCAACAGCGGTAGCGGCAGCACCGACGAAGTTATGACAGAGATGGAGAGCTGACATTGTCGTATCGGTGGTTCACGAGCTTCACTCGCTCACACAGCTCCACCATGGGCCGGCGGCCCTCCGACTGCAGTGCTTGCCGTAGGTCCAAGAACCGAATCAAAGACCAAGCCGCTTCAAGGGGTATAAGGGGTGCAGTCTGAGGATGTCTGAGGAAATGTACGGAGGGTTGGCATTAACCGCTGAGGCACTTTATCTTTGGCCCGGATCCTCGCACGGCAGATTCCACTGAGGCCAAGGGCCGAAGTGAATGACTCATCTTCAGTTGGAAGCACAACTAAAGCTGGCTGTGATGAGGTGCCTTCAGCTCTGGTGGACGCGGAGAAGGTCCAGTCAAGGCGTCACTTCCCTCCGTCGCAGGAGGCCTTCAAGAATAGCACCCTCGGTCCATTCCAGCACGAATCACTACGGATTTGCAGTCGAGCCAGAAGGATTGTGCTACCTAGAAGCTCCGATGCGTGTGGAAAGCTTGAACACGAAAGCCAAAAGGGGCGGCAAGCAAAAAGCGCCGCGGCGCGACGGAGAAGGAATGCAAGAGGGTGGAAGGATGAAAGTCGTGTCGTCGCAGCCTTTCGTGCTTTCAAGGCTGTCGGATGCCAAGTCATGAAGCTTGATCCAGTGAAGCTGTTGTGCTGGCATTTGGGCTCTCTTCGGGCCTTTGGTAACTTTCGCGAGCCCAAAAGTATGAGCACCACTGCTGCCTCTGTGAGGCCTCAAAGGGTGGCACTGCAGACTGCCTAGAGATCTACTCAAAGAAGTCGTGAGCTCAGTGTGAGTCTCCTCTAAAGATCTCTAAAGTGCTCTCACGTCAAGTTGCCCGACAGGCACTGTCCTCCGCCATCTGCGGAGCAGAGCGATGGAGCAAGCTCTGGTGTGAGGTGGGACGTAGACGCGGTTCTTCCCACCGGGCTTGCAATGCCGGGAGATGCCGGGAGGCGGTTTGACGCTGTGAAGCACAAGCAGTACGATGAAGAGGCCCCGGGTCGGGGGGATGTTTGCTGTCGTTCGGTTGACCTCCATTGCGGTGCTTGGCATGACCAGGTTAAAGACTCCAAAGAAGGACGTCGGCATGTGTTCAACGCCTAGCACAAAAAGGGTGCTGGAGGTTCTCCAACAGCTTCGCAAAAGTCATCGCTGTACGCACACCGCCAAAGCTACCACCAGCGACGGTTGTGCGCGTGGGTGTCGTTCCGATGCGGTTCAGGCAACAGCTGGATCCTATACCAAGGTTTTAACTGGTATTCTGAGCATCTTTGCTCTTTGAGCTTTGGGCGTCCAGGCCCGGGCCTTCAAGCCAATTGGATGCTGCGTTGCAGGACGGGCTTTTCTAACGGAATGAGAATTTGTTGTTGCTGCTTGTTGAATCTTGCCTCCTGGGGCTTCATTGGCAGGATGGAGGGTCCAGACTGACCCTGTGACAAAAAGACTTGACACAGCCCCTGAACCCGGGAACCTCAAGCCGGAGGCTCCTTTCGCCCTGCCAGGTGAAAGGACGAGAGAGCCGGCGGTGCCGCCAGGCTTTCGAAGGCTCCTCCGGGCAGGCGCCTGATGGCAATTGCGAAACCAGCGCACTACGCAGGCCGACTGCGAGCCGCGAGGCGAGTCTGGGGCGGGAGACGGGGGTCTGGGAGCCGGGGCAGTCTCTTCAAGAACTTCCTTATTATCTTATGTTTCCTGGCTGCAACTCAGAGAAGCAACGGGGGTGTTTCGGAGGTCTGACAGCCGGACGCAGCGGCGCTACATCCAGCCTCAGGCGCTTCTGAGCATGTTTGGATCTTTCTAGCCATGGCCAGTGACCTTAGGGTACTGGTGGGGTTTAGCCCGAAGATAGCTACTGCAATCGCTATTGTTATGAAACCGTCACCATCTCTGCCAGTGCACCAGGGTGAACGCGGCGGCTGCATCTGAGAACGATTCATCTTTCCGAACCTGACTTTGTTTGGAGTTCCAAGCGATAATGAAAATGAAGCCGACTGTTAGCTCCAACCCTGGCCTGGCAGCAGAAGGAACAGGCATTGGATGTGCAAGACGGCAGGTAGTGCGGGGAGGGGGGCTGGCGGCGCCATCGATTCTTTCACCTGTAGACTGACTTTACAACGTGCACGTCTTCAGCTTGAAAAAACAGGCAAATGAGTACGAGAAGCGATCGGAATGTTCATTTGGAAACTGATTGACACACTCCACATACTACTCAGTGCGGCATGTCATGCCTCGAAAGATTCAAACATCCACAGATTCGAGCTTTCCGGGCATGGACGCAGCATCCGTCGCCAACGAGAATCCCACCAAGCAGCAGAAGAACCTTCCGGGCTGCTGAGGGGCCTAAAGCGGTCAGGCGTTTAACTGCTTAACTTAGGTTTCAGGCAGGTGACGACTGGGAAACATCTCCGCAGCCTTCAGGACCATCTGCAATGGAGCGGGGCGGTGCCTGGTCAATTCCCCGACTCCAAGCCACAGGCTGGCATGTCGAAGTATGTCGCAGTGATGGCTGGCCGTTGCCTCACGTGGCAGGGGATCCGTTGCAGCTCCACGTCTCCGACTTACCTGGACGTCAACGCAGCGACTGCGCTCGGACCTTAAGAGCGAGCAACGAGCTCGGCTGCTGAGAACCCCTATACTCATCCGCATCCCATCAGGCTTGGTTCTGGTGCTCCAGAGGCTCGCTGAAAAGCTTAGGCTTAGGCTCCAAAAACCCTGCAGAGCAATTCAGGCAGCATCCTCAACGGCCTTAGTCTGCTTCGGGCCAAGGCGACACCGAGGACAAAAAGCCTCGCTTGCACCGTAGGGCCATCGCCCAGTCGTGCAGGTCGCAGACACCACGCAAGCGCCGAGTCGGGGTCCAGGCGGAGCCGCGTGCAGAGAAGAAGCCATGAAGCGAGCTCCATCGCCTTTTGAGAGTGTCGAAGGACAACCTCGTCGGAGGAACTCTGCGAGGCAATGCGAGGACCGCCGTAGGCACCAAATCGCTCCCCGATCTCTCTGAAGGTCCAGCATCCAGCAAGGTCGGAGAGATCAGACCTTCCAGGCGCTGTGCTGGCAAAGCGGGTTTCAGCCCTTCCACCTGTTTGCACGTCCAGGCGACCTGTGGATCAGGGCGCGCAGCCGGGAGTCTTCGAAGTTGCACAGCGAGACCGCATCGGTTCAAGCTACCTGCAGAGGTACGAGCTTGCTTGGAGGATACCTGAGGCCCAGTTGTGCGACTGCACCGGCATGCGAACATGCCGTACGTGCGCAAATGCACAGGTCCTCATCCGAGGTGGATAGAGCACCATCGCCCTTGCCGCAACGGCCGCAGGACAGTTGACATGCCTAGTGCCGTGCAGAGGGTGCAGCAGCCTGCCTCGGAGGACAATCTTGCCGGCAGTGCATGTCTTCCCACAGTGAGGGCGAACTAGAGCCAATGCGCACAGCGCAACTGTAATATACACAGTCGGCTATGCTGGCTGGATTTCAGCTCGGAGCATCAATGCAAGAGCTTGAACACGGACAGAGCGGCTGCTGCAGAAGTAAGTCGCCTCGTCCACACGTGCTGCAGTCAACGTTGCTGCAGAAGCATGCGTCGCAAATGCCTAACAGAAGTCCTTAGCTCTCCATCAAAGTGGCGCTGCATGCAGCAAGTGTCGCGTAGAGTACATGTCGGTGAATGCAGCATGTGTCCATGTGTTGCCGCGATGCCTTCGACTTAAGTTTGCATTTTTAGAATGCCTTCTGCAGCCAAGGGTATGGCTTGATAGGCTTTCCCTTGTCCTTTCGCAGATCGAACACTTCTGTATTTCCAGCTCCTGGTCTGCACTACTCGTAGATGAATTGTTTTTATGCGTAGTCCAGGACCTTCCTTCCACCGAGGATCTTCGCATCGAGATTGACCTCGCCTCGATGCGATGCCTCTGCACCGCAGGGGCCCTGCCTGGCCTCCGAAACCCCTCCAATCCCCTCTGACCGCACTATCCTGCACTGATGGCGGGCTCGAGGTCCTGAGCCTGGGCATCTTGCTGGGGGCAGCGCACGCAGACCTGTACAACCTCGCCGAAGGCAAAACAGATGCGGAGTGGCGGACCCCACGCTCCCCGTGTTCTGCCCGTGACATGTGCAGGTGATGACCCGACCTCGCTTCTGCAAAGAGGCCCAGATGCTGAAACGTCCATGTAAGCAGCTGGCTAGCATTCAGTCATGGAGTGCAGCTCAGGGAAATTCGAACAACATGCGTTGAGCAAGTTGAGGATTTCCCGATGGGAAGATCACATGCTATTCATTGTCACTTTGCTGTGCGTTCCAAGTGGGCCTGCGCAACTCAACACGAACATCGTATAGTGAAAGAAGCGTAGCGGTGCAGGTTTTCATGTCAGGTCGAAAAGGTGGATGCACTGCTTGCAGGCGCAGAAGCCCTACACTCTCGGCAAGTTCGACAGGCACGGAGGATGACATGCATCTGCTAGCGCTGCTCTGGGTGTCTTGAAGGTGGTGCTCATGGCTGGCGATCCACCTCAGAGCTTGCCGGCACAGCTGGGACACATGCGGCCAGCTTTGCCTGCAGCTGAGATCCGATGTGACAGAGCACAGCTTACACTGGGACAAGGGAGTCTTGGACTACAGGTGGGCAGTGTCCTGCGTGACGGTGTTGTACTTTGCAGCATATGCCGCAACCTGAGACATCGTTGCCATGTTCCTGCCTGTGTCAGTGTGTACTCCTCCAAGAAGCGGGGCTGAAGCACGATTTTAGTTTCACACTTCAGCAATCGTCCTCTTCCTCCAGCAAAGATATCAAGCGGTTGGCCAAAAGCCTTGTCATGCGCGACAACGGTGGTTTGGGCTGGTAGTTGCTCGAAGGGGGGCTTCCCTTCTGGCACAGGAGCCTTCACCTAAGAACAAAACCGGGGGGTGTGCGGGTGGCACGGGCCCCGTATGAAGAAAAGGAGACTGCGCGAAGGAGACCCGGTATTTTAGTTGTGTGTTCCTGCACGCGCTTCGTGGAATCCAGTCCTCAAAGTCAGGCCGTCCTGGCTATCATCCACGCCTTCAACCAGGTTGGCACGCAGAAGTCTTGAAGTCATGGGATAGCACAACTAAGTGGCACACTTGTATATGAAGTATATGACAGCATAGGAATCGGACTTCAGTCAGAGCACATGCATAGTATGTTAGCAGTCTCATTGATGCTGATTAACAGTGTGAGGTTCTATGCCACTGCAAAGATCCATAGGGGCGAACTATGAATTCCATCGCAGTGTCTTACGATGTATCATACAACGCTTTATATTTGGACCAGCAACAGAGTGAAGTCTGCTACACTTCACGTCTCACTACGTGTCAGTCCACTGAAATGCAGCATCTTCTGTCTGAAATGTTGTTGCTCACAGCTAGTTGCTAGTTACCTAGTTAAACCTCAGCAGCCCGTCAGGTTTCCAGCTTTATGTGTCATTTCCCATGCGCTCATCATGCGGTTGTGTTTTGTTAAGAATCGTTGTGGCCCAAGCACTTTCTTAGCACCTGAAGGACCGAGCAAACAGACATGCATAGCCAGGTATGACTCTAGGCACATAGACAGTCGTAGACAAGGCAAAGAGTAGAAAAAGTAGATGTAGAGGAATAGAAGTGCAAGTACAAGTGTCGCAAAATTGCAAAACATGACAACGCAAGCACGCAAGCACACATGCATGCATATATACAAGCAATCAAACAAACAAACAAAGACAGAAAACATGCACAACATAGATGCAAAAGCCCATAGGCAAATAAATAAATCGTACATACACACAGACATACAGAAGCACTTACACAAACAAATACATGCACACATACGCGCGTACATGCATTCATACCTTATGCAGTGCATACAGTACGTAGATTACTGCGTACTGTACCTTGTATACACTGCATACATGCATATCATTGAATACATTACATACATTTACATACATTGTATCATTATATACCCTACATGCACGACATGCATCAAATGCATTGCGTACATTACCTAAGTTGCATCCATTGCATACGATACATACGCTGCTTGCGCTGCTTACACTGCACTCCACATACAATACATACAGTAATAACGAGCACACGACATCCAACACATGCTGTACATAGCATACAGCCGCTACATGCATGCATATACATACCTACCTACTTACCTACCTACTTACCTACCTACCTACCCACCCACCTACCTACATACATACATACTTGCATATTAACATGCATACATGTATACATACATGCATACATGCATGCATGTATGTATGTATGTATGTCTGGGTATACACACAAGCAGGCGGTTTGAGTATGTTTACAGTGTATACAGTATTGGGATTCTTGGTATTAATTCTTAGTAAAGTATATATACGCATATATACATATGTATACTTATATGCATGCATATTCGTACATACATACATATATATATATATGTATATATATATATACATATATATATATATAAAGCTTCATATACCGATATGTTTGTATAAATATTGATATACCGTCTGCACATATATACATATATAGAGACAATACAAATAACAATAACACCACCACCACCGCCGCCGCCACCGCCACCGCCACCACCACCACCACCACCACCACCACCACCGAAGTCATCAGTGGCTAACGTTCAACGTCCCTGCTATCGTACCTCGAGCTGCCATGCTAACGGGCTTCTCGGGGCGGTGGCAGGTTCTAGTCTGGTTCCCGTGCATACCAAGGCGTATGTGCTGTCGAATGACGGCCGGGGCGACAATATTGTCGTCCTGACACAACACTGAACGCAAGGCTTGGACTCCCTAGCTGCGAGTGAAACGAAACGAAACCACCACCACCAACACCAACACGACCACCACCACGACGACGACGACGACTACTACTACTACTGCTACTACCATCACTACTGCCACTACTGCTGCTACTACTACTACTACTACTATTACTACTACTACTACCACTACTACTACTACTACCACCACTACTACTACTACTACTACTACTACTGCTACTAGTAGTAGTACTACTACTACTACCACCACCACCAATGATAAGAAGAAGAATAATAACAAGAATATTAGTAAGACTAGAAATAATTGTGTTGCTTATGTTTAGACATAGTCTAAACCCTAAACCCTAAACCGTTTTACGTCAGACCTGGCCCGCTGGTTGCCACGTGGCAGGCGCAGGATGCCGGGCCCGGGCCAGTGGAAAAAGCGTTGGAGGCCAGTTGGTGTACACACATATTATATATACACACAATATATATATATATATATTATATATATAATATAATATAATATAATCTGTATATCTATCTATCTATCTATCTATCTATCTATCTATCTATCTATATATACATATCAGAGAGAGAGAGAGATATATATATATATATATTTATTATACACACATACATATACACTTATAAGAAGAATAATACAATAATAGTATTAATTTTAACAGTAACAATAGTAATGCCAATACAAACAAAATTTCAAAAATGATAATAATGCTGTGCCACGATGGTCAAGCCGTTAGCCCGTTGCGTCGTGTGCCAGTCTGCCGTCATGGGCGTCTGCTTCGCACCAATGTTATGCGTACTGTTCCTGTCGGCGTGGGGCCTCAGGGAGTGCTTGGATTGCACCGTCGTTCTGATAACTGAAAAACCCCCATGCTATGCTTGCGCTTGTGCTTGGCTTCAGCTTCCCTTAGAGTTTCACTTTATGCCAATGGATCTCTTATCATACGAGGACGCAGACAAATCTCTTTCCTCGGCAAGACGAGCTGGATGAAGATCCACTTCAGTGCCAGTCAACCATGCACATTGCAGCTGCAGCCAAGTTCCACAGCCCTACAAGCAGAAGTTGAAGCGATAAAGAGTTCTTTGCAGTCCGTGCTTGTGTTTGGGTGGGACCTTGCCTGTGCAGGGCCCTCGGTGTGCACCATGCGAAGCAGGAAAGTAGCTCCGGTCCTCGTCCGAGGTCCTATCGGCCATGGCGGAGTCGGATCTGAAGGCGGTGTCCGATAGCTTCGAGGGCCTCGAAGGCAGGTGTCTTGCTGAGGGTTAGGGCGGCCAGGGCCAGCAGGGTGCAAGACTGTCAAGGTATGAATCTGCCGGTGGCAGCATTCGTGGAAGCCTTCAAGACGAACCCAGTGCTGGAAGCACCCTCAGCTCTGTGAGCCTCTGCAATGCAACGTTTTCCACGTACCAGGGACGTGCGGTCATTGAGGTTCGGAAAATCGCATTGGTCACGGGCTTCGAGGAACATCTCCTGAAATTGATTCCCCAAGAGGACCCGTCTTTCATGTTGCAGCCATTTGCACCCTGCTCATGTTCGGTGAGCCAGGAGCTACTGTCGACTTTCGCGTCTCTGATGCACTACAGGTTTTAAGACGCCGCATGTGGGATGCCGTGCTGCCAGGTCCTGCAGGGTATTTTCCTGGGTTACTCTACCGAGGCACAGTGGGACACGGAGGGGTCCGGCAATCTCAGTTTCGAGAACTTCGTGCAAGGCATGGGCAGTTGGAGTGCAGTCGGTAAAGAGGGTACAGCCTGCCGTATCCGTGCAGGCCTCTCGAAGATGCGACAGTTTAACCGAAGTGCCACTGAGCAGGCTGCCAGAATGCTGTAAGTGGCGGTCCAGGGCTTCCTCTGAAATCCACATGGTCAGGCTGAAGTTGCCGAAGAGCAGGCAGTGCTGGACGCCTCTGTCCAAGAGGCCAAAGCAGCTTTTCTCGCTGCTGGTGGAGGGCAAGGAAGCGAACTGGATTTGCAGGCAGGCTGTCCGGGGTTTCGTCGAAAGCGAGCCTGTGCACAAGTCGTGCACCGTTTGCAGATTGCAGGCTTTTCTGGTGGCCCTTTCTGATGCGACACTCGTGGTTAAGATCGCAACAGCAACGGGGCTCTCAGGCTGCGGTTCAGTGGTTCCTTTCCTGTCAACACTCAGAGTTTTCTGTGCAGTTGCTCGAAACTCAGGCTGCCGACCTCTTTTTTTGAAAGTCTTTCCGTGCCTCGGCCTTGCTACTCGTAACTACTCGTAGCAGAGCTCAAAACATTGGGTCTTGCGACACTCCCTTGCATCCTGACACTCCGAGAGATTCACCCCTCCCCTTTTCCTCGGAGGTGCGCCAGCTGCTGGACCTTTTCAAAGAAGTGGACACTCGTCTGTCCGTGGCTGCGGCTTCCGTGTGGCATTGTAGACGAAGTGTAGACGACTGGAACCTCTAGAAAGGAAATAGTGGAAACGTTGTGTGTGGTGCATTCAGGACCTCGACTGCTCTGGCACGGTCTCACTGGAAGAGTGGATTGAAGCCCTCGTGCGGATCCGCACCTGGGTTATACAGAGAGGTTGATGTTCAGAAATGATGCGTCCAGATGTTTCACAGACAGAAATGCATAAGAGGTCACACCGCACTCGACGAAGCATAAGGAATGACAATCTACGATGAGCGAAAGGCAGAGATGGATGCGGCCATGGATGCAGTCAGAACGCATGCAGAGGCAAGTTGACAAGGCAAAATCACTTCAGATGCTCCTGGTACTGACTTAGCCGCTGTGCAGGCAGCATTAAATGAAGGCGACGAGGCTCCATGGCTGATAGGAAGCTTTTTTTTCTCGCGTGACTCTCATGCTGGCTCACATTTGGATGCTCGCTCTTCGGCTCGCTCGCTTTTTGCGGCGTGGGCTCTGTCTGTCTCTGATACATGTAGCTCTCGTGCGCCTTCGAGAGTCTGCATATAGGAGCCTTTCAGCCTTTCGTGCCAGCTTGTACTTCCGCCTCAGGATTGGTCCGGTGAGTTCGACTTCCGGGAGTTGCTCGGATTCGCTCATATTGTGAAAGTGCCCGAATGGCTTGCTTTCTCAGCTCAGGTTCATTGTCGCCTTCAAGTACAACCCGACTTTCCTGCGAAAGGCCACATCACATACTGCGCCCAATCTGCCCACTCTCAACTGCTCATCTGCCTTCTGGTTCGGGTTTGGTGCATCCAGGGTTGTACGTGACTGGGCTCGAGGGCGTGTGGGAGGTTCAGAAAAGTCCCGAAAATCGTCGCAACTAAATTCAGCAACAACCCTGCACTTTCACTTGCGCCTCCTGCACCCCGATCGGAGACTAGAGATGCCAGGCGTTGTCAGTCTATAGAAAGACGAGCCCCGCCAGCCAACTCGTCCGATTCCGTAGTCTTGTGCAGGTCTCCTTGGCGACGGGCATTTCGGCGGAAGAGCTTGGCCCCGAGAAGAGCGCTGCGACACTCGTGGCAAAGTAGGCTCCTGTGGGGTAGACATGAGCAGTGGCAGTCGGTAGCAGCCGGTAGCAACAGTGGTCGTGGTCGCAAAGTCAATGGTGACAATGCATAATTGAAAGCTGTCAATTTTGATGTTGCCAAGCGTTGTTGCTTCTTTCTTCCTCTGTTCTTCTCCTTCTTCTTGCGCTTCTGCTTGTGGGCCTTCTGCTCCTTCTTTTCCTTCATTGCTTTCTGCTGATGACGGTGATAGACTGATTTCGCTGATCACGAGGTTGGGATCCATGCAGGACGAGTCCATCGAGGATCTATTCCTGGCTTTGGACACCGATTTTTCAGGCCACGCATCGGCACATCGTGGCCATGGGGAGGCCTGAACATGCATCCGTGCTTGTCGAGGAACAGTTTCCTTCGCCGAGTTTGTCAAGGGCCGCCTCCCAAGCTCGTGCTTTCAGCGGTCTATGCTGAGTTGGGATCACGAGTGGATGCATGACGCAGGCATTGTGCAGTGACCCAGCAATACTCAGCACAGCACAGGGAAGAAACATCATTCATGACTAGGAGATGGATAAGCTTGAACTTCGTTTCAGGGAGGCTTGAGCCCGATTGCCATGGCTCATGGCTTGCCACACCTGCGGACAGCGTGGCAAGTGGAGAAGGCAGTAACAGAGGAGGAGTCTCGTGTTGCTTAGACACAACCCAGTGGATGATGGCATGATGGCAAGATACAGCCAGAAGAGTTTTTCGCAGATTTCGATCGCGAGGTTGTTCTTCTTCGATTCGGCCATGACTATGACCCTGAGTGCAAGCTTACGGACGACGTCCTGCTGGCACTATCAGACACCGTGAAGGACTGCTGGCCCGAAATGTTGGCGGTTACTCTCGCTCGCCTTTGGTACCTGGTACGGCCGTCCGGCATTTAGCAGGAGATGTGTGGTTTCTTCCTGGTGGACACCGACTTGGTTCCAGATTTTACACAGCAGTATGTGGCTCGGAGGCAGCAGATGCATGCTGGTGATTCCTGGTGATACCTGTCTAGGTAGCGGACGTAGCTTACAGCAGTCTCCTGAAGTCAAGGAGCTGTACGACCCCTGCACCCTGATGTTCTTTTACAAAGGACGAGCGGTAACGCGAAGCCTTCAGCCGTCCCTTGCTGACTGAAGAGTTTCCAGGACGGCATTTGCAACTGGAGCTCGGGCTGGGAGCGGCTTGGACACTGACAGCCGGTCGTGACTGCAGGATGTTCGGCCCGAACGTCGCATACTGGTGTGTCGAAGTGATGGCATCAGGAGAGATACAAAATCACTGGACCAATTGGGGGCGAGAAGGAGCATGCTCACTGGCTCGCAAGTTGAGCTGAATGCCGAATGCTCACTTCTGCCTTGTCGGAAGCGTTCCAGTAGTCTTCGGAAGGAGCTGCTGACCGTCATAGAAGCTGTACATCGGGGTGCACAGCAAGGGAGAGACTTGATCGTGGCCCCACAAGATCGCTCATTGGCGCCGCTTGATATGCGATTGACTGAGCATCTAGTCGAGTATGCTGTAGCACATGATGGCGACGCCTAGGTACCGCTTCTAGGGCTCGGAGCAGACATCTCTTCATCCGGAAGCTGCATCGAGCAGATGATCGTGGCCTCGTCTCCCACTCGAACACCAAAACCTCGTCGGAAGTGAGCCCCGGGCCAGTGGCAGCAGGATGCTGTGCGCGGGACCATACTCGACCATGCTCGCAGCGCCCCGCGGCCATCCCAATCCGCGAAAGGCGGTGCCAGCCTTTCCGACGACATGCCGGATGAAAAAGCTCACTGCATGCCTATCCTTTGTGAAATCTAGGCGGGAACAGAGAGATCTTTGGCCTCCGGCCGTACGTGCGCCGAGGTCTCGCGCAGATTCGCAGGGGGCTTGGAGCAGCTGCAGTCACCGAAGTGCGATTTGGGGAATCCTCTCAGGGAACGACTGAACGATGTCCAAAGCGCTGTGATCCTTCCGAGGTTTGATCCGCAAGGCCCGCGTGGACCAAGAGCGGCAGCAGCAAGAAGCAGCGATGTGGCTTGGCATGATCTGGCTTCAGCTACTGTGCCATGCGGTTTGTTTGCTCTGATATGGAACATACTGACTCACGATGGTTGAGCAGAGGTTGGACGAAGCCCTTTCGATTGCCGCAGATGCCTGTCGAAAGCAGACATGGCCATGTGCTAGTGTTCCAGTTGTTCTTAAGTCATCAGTGTACCGAACTGTGACGTAACTGATCCATAAGGAAGCCTTTGAATCGGCTGATTTTGACCTGCGCGGGGAGCTGGATCTGCAGTCCTTCATGCAGGCCAGCCACGTGCATGCTGCTCTTGGCAGAGGAACCAGAAGGATCATCGAGGGATACGTTCCCTTGCTGATCCTTGCTGCAGGCCCTGGGCAATACCAAGGTGGCAGAAAAGGCAGCTTGTCTTCAGTACAACACGAATCCAGCTACTGCCAGCTCCACGAGTGCGAACATTTGTCTAAGATCCAAGGTGTCTCAGGCAACGTCTGTGCCCACAGAATGGTTCTTGTCCTTAGACGTGGGTCAGAGCCGTGCTCTGCATTGAGCACAACTGTTCCTTGATCTTTCCAGCGTTTGTCTAGTTCATTGAGACGTGCCGGTCTTCCAAACTTCTCCTCGGCTCCTAACATGCGGCACGGTGCTGGTTCGAGCCGGGGTGACGAAGTGGGTCGATAAGGTAGTTTTTGAGCATGTGCAGGTTGTGCAGGTGTGTCAGAGCTTGAAACTAAGGATGGTTCAACTCTTCCAGGACATCGATGCCGACGCCAACGGCAAGGCGGCCTGGAAACTTTCAGGGAGCGACAGTCTTGCGCTTCCACCAACAGTCTGCTTCATTGTGCCAAAGCAGAGATGGCGAGCTGCACAGGTGTCCTTCCAGGAGTGGATTCTCGCTCTCCTTCGAGTTCGCCAGGCGAACCAGGAGGCAGCGTGTCGCCATGGGGATGAGCTGTGGAGGGAGTTGACCACGACGTAAGCCTGAAAATGGTGCACTCAGGATCTCAAGGCGGAGCGACAGCAGGAGCCGGGTTTTTTCTTCAAGGGTGGTTTCGCCCTGAAGCTTCGGGGCTAAGAGAAGCTTGGCATCCTGAGCTAAAGGACTCCTCCAGCCTGACAGGAGATGGCAGCCATCGAAAGCTTGGTGGAAGAAGCCTTGGAGGAAGGAGATGAAGATTGGTCAGCTGCTCAAAACATTGGCAGTGGCGATGCCCTCTTCTGATTTTGCATTCTTATTAGGTCTGGTGAGTTGGACTTCCGAGAGTTCATCGCGGCTTGGACGGACACCGACATGCGTCGAAGTGCGTCGAAGTGTCAGTCTGCTCTAAGGCTGCCTTCCGCTGCAACCCGCGCTTTGTGAGGAAGGTCGCGCTTGCAGCAGATACCACTGTCGAAGATCTCAGTGGCCTCGAAAACGAGGAGCTCTTCGTAGCAGTGTAGCACCCGCGCCCAATCCGCTTTCGCCCATTCAGCGAGGACCTGGAGCAGTTCTTTGCTGTCTTAGATACGGTGGCTGGACCAGCAACACAGCGTAGCGGCATGGAAGTTAGTTATGGTTATGAAGCATCATGTAATATCGTGCATGACATGCAGGTATATTAGCGCCTTTTTTTACACATCAAGAAAACTGTTTGACTTCCGTGGTGATATGCAGAGGACTCCTTTGCAATAGCCCTGGGATTTGCCGGTGTTCCTGCAGATCTTCTCAGGACCGCTCCGGCACCATCTCTTTTGACGAGTTTGTTAACGGCTTGCTTGATATCCGCTTAAAGCGGCATGCCTACGCCAGGGAGCAGGCCTGGGAAACAAGCACCTATCTCACATCGAAAGGGGGAGGTCCATGGCGCTGAGGCAGAAGCCGAGAACCAGGCAGTTATCGATGTGGCCTATTTGGATACTTGACTTGAGCTGGCAGACTAAGTTTCATGATTTTTATGCCGAGCTGAATCCCACGATGCGAGCCTACTGCTGGGCTCCTTCCTCCAAGGATGCTCTGGACGCTTTCAGCCAGGCAGGCAGCGCTAATTGAGCGGCAGCAGCAGTAGCGGCAGGATAGGCATGAATTGTTAAGTATCAGCCTCGAGCCCGCACTTTTTTTTCCTAACGTTG